CTTGACATTTACGGTTTTTGCAAGGGTCAAAAGAGTCATTTATTTTAAAAAGTGGGTCTTTATGATATTTATGACATTTAAGGGGCCAAAAGTGTAATTTTCGCTAAATGGGCCATATTATGGGCCTTTACGGTTATTGGGCCCAAAATGTAAAAATTATGATTTTTGTGGACCAAAATGTCATTCTATACAAATTTGGGCCAAAAATGAAAATCTACGGTTTTATGGGCTGAAAATGACAAGTTATACAAATTTGGGCCTAAAATGTTATTTATACAAAAATTTGGTCCGAAGATGTCGTTTTGATAAAAAATGGGCTAAAAATGTAAATTCTTATAATAACGGGCTGAAAACAGAAATATATAAATATTTGGGCCAAAAATGTCAGTCTATATATATGGGCCGAAAATGTTATTTTTACAAAACTTGGGCCTAAAATGTCATTTTGTTTAAAAAGGGGCTAAAAATGTAAAATTTTATATTAATGGGTCGAATACATCAATTTATGGTTACTTGGGCCAAAAAATGTCAACTTACATACAATTGGACTAAAGATGTAAATTTACATGCTAATTGGACATAAACTATGTATTACATGTTTAATGGGCCTTAGTGGCCCATATACATGCTATTTGGACATAAACTATGAATTACATGTTTAATGGGCCTTAGTGGCCCATATACATGCTAATTGGACCTAAACTATGTTTTACATAGTTAATGGGCCTTAGTGGCCCATATACATGCTTATTGGACCCAAACTATACATTACATGTTTACTGGGCCATATTGGGCTTACTACATGTCTTTTGGGCCTCGTACATTCATTTACATACTCGTTGGATATTTTATTAAAAACATAGAATATACAAGCAAACATTATATAACATAATACAATAATCGCGTAAACTCAGTCAAGGTTGCTAGTGAGACATGTCGGTTGACACCTCTAGACAGTATGATCGTAGCCTGTAGTTATAACCAGAGTCTCCTAGAGGGAGAGCGAGAGTTTGTGTATAGATCTATACGGAGTGACACCCCACACCTAATATGTTTGCTACAGTTAGACTAGGCCAGTCTAGGGTGAATTCGTCATAATCAAGTATGGTTCAAACGACTCACTTAGAAATCCTCTCCAACATAATTTTATGGAATACCTATAAAATCTTGTGGATACAAAAACATACACATACTGTTATTCAGTCTTAGGGTTGAGACCACAACGCTTTTATAAACAGAAAATATAGGATTTTCTGGGGTAATACACAGTTAAACAATATCTTTTACTTGTTACAGAAAATACAGGGTTTTTATCTGGATTACATTTTTATACATTCCAAATACTGAAAGCACACATGCATAAATACTTGATTTCGATACATCACATTCAAAACATTTTATTTTAGAAAATATCGGATTTTCTGGAGTTTTACAAATAATTCAAAACTTTTCATTCGAATATGCTTATGAACTCACCAACATTATATATGTTGACGTTTTTAAAATAACTTGTATTCTTAGGAAATCGTTAAGCGGAAAGGTCAGCAGGAAATGTGGAATTTGTTATATATTTTGTTATCATCATAAATTTAATACATTGGACATGTAATTTATGATACTGTACTTGATGTAAACAATGCTGGTTGTATTTTGATATGTATGATGATGGTGTTGTCTAGTTTCAGTTATATACAATTGTGATGATATTACAAGATGAAGTCACGCGCAAGCCCCCGGACGTTTGCGCCGTCTGGTTCGGGGGTGTGACAGATTGGTATCAGAGCATTGTTTATAGTGAACTGGCATATCTAATCATACTTGATACGCAACTATAAATACAATGGGACTAAAATACTCTGAATAAAATGAATACCTAGGTTTGCATTAAAACTATAATGCTAAAAGTCTCTGCAGGAAATGGAACGCTGTGATTAAACCCGGACAGTTATGTAGTCATATTGTGGATAAATATAGCATGATCAACTATATTTATTCAAAATATGACCAACATGTGTTTGGGGGTAATCATGGCGGGAAATGGACCTAGAAGCTTACCTTGTATCCAAAACTTCTCAGGAACTCAAACACAAATAATTAAAATACTATAGGAGTATTTTTGGAAAAATTATTGCACATACCTTTTTTTTTTCTTACCCACTTCTCACTCCCTGTTCACGCGTAGTCGTCATGGACGAAGCACATCAGGGCGCTCTTTTCTATCAGAACCTAGTGGCCCACGGAATGATTGAAGAAGACCCCGAGATGGGTCAGGAGGCGGCCCCCGGTGTCGGGCCTGAGGAGTATGTGGAGACAGACTATGAGTTTGGAGAGTCCGATGAGCTCACAGAGGAGAGTGGACACTAATAAAGTCTCCAGTGAACCTCCCACTTCAGAGACAGTACAAGATCACTCCAAAGCGCCACGGGATCCAGTTGATAGGACTGACTTCCTAGAGGAGGAGGTTTCCAATCTTTGGCATCAACTATTAGCGACAGAGGCCCGAGCTGTACAGGCCAAGCACGAGAGAGACGAGGTAGTCAGGGAGATGGTCGAGCTAGCCGATCTTGTAGCATGACATTTCAGCATGTGATTTCGTTACCAGACCCACCCCGACGTAGCTAGAATACGTCTTTGTACTATCGTTATGATTTTCTTTTTATGTTTTACTCTATGTACTATCGACCATATGTTTAAGTGATTACACTACTCATAGGGTCGTCATGCTGTCGGATCACCATAACACAAGACGTTGCCCTTGTTACATACGAGAAGGAAGCATGCGTACATGTTGGAACTCATGATGATGAGTGGGTGATTGATAGCGCTGCATCATATCATTCGACTCCAAACCGAGATTTATTCACTACTTATAAACCCGGAGACCATGGTACCGTGAAGATGGGAAACACTAGTTTCTCAAGCATTGCTGGTATTGGTGATGTGCATTTAAAGACAAATGTTGGATGTACATTGGTGCTGAAAGATGTTCGACATGTCCCAGAGCTGAGAATGAATCTTATCTCAGTTGGAACTCTTGACGTCCAAGGATATGATAATCAATTTAAAAATGGTACCTGGAAGTTGTTAAAAGGTGTTATGGTTGTTGCAAGGGACAACTTGATGGTACTCTTTATAAAAGCCATGCAAAGCTACTTCAGCCAAGTCTCAATGCTGTTGAAGAAGAGACATCACCAAACTTGTGGCATAGAAGACTAGGCCACATGAGCGAGAAGGGATTGACGACTCTTGCAAAGAAGGAGTCCATTTCAATGGCAAAAGATGTTGCCCTGGATCCTTGTGAATACTGCCTATTTGGGAAAACAACATAGAGTTTCCTTTAGCTCCACAAGAAAGAACCGCTCTGAGTTGCTGAGCCTTGTCCACTCCGATGTATGTGGACCCATTGAAGTAGAATCTCTTGGTGGAAGCCGGTATTTTGTGACATTCATTGACGATGCATCACGAAAGGTATGTGGATACTGTCTGAGGACGAAGGACCAAGTATTGGACCACTTCAAAGCTTTTCATTCAATGGTGGAAAGACAAATAGGAAAGCATTTGAAATGTCTCCGATCAGATAATGGAGGCGAGTACTATTCCCGTGAGTTCTCTAAATACTACACGGAACATAGTATCAGACATGAAAAGACTGTCCCACGAACCCCACAACACAATGTTGTAGTAGAACGAATGATTCAAACTATTGTTGAGAAAGTTCGATGCATGCTCAACATGAATAAACTCCCAAAGCCATTATGGGGTGAAGCTGTATTGACAGCTTGCTATCTAATAAATAGGTCACATTCTGTTCCACTAAAATTTGAAGTTCCGGAGAAGATATGGACGGGTAAAGACATATCATATTCTCACTTGAGAGTATTTGGGTGTAAGGCGTTTGCATATGTACCAAGTGAATTGCGGAAGAAGTTGGACCTCAAATCCACTCCATGCATCTTTATTGGATACACTACTAGAAAAACAGCCTTTTACGACGCGCAATGCGTGTCGTAAAACGCTCAGACGACGCACAAATGCGTGTCAAGGAAGGCCCTGTCATAACGAGAGACGACACGCTTTTGCGCGTCGTCTATAGACGACGAGCATTTACGACGCGCAGTTACGACACGCATTTACGACGCTCATTTACGACACGCAATGCGTATCAAGGAAGGCCCTGTCATAAAGGAAGACGACATGCATTTGTGTGTCGTAACCTTACGACGTGCATTTATGACACTCACTGCGTATCATTAAAGCCCTTGTCATAAATGAAGATGACACGCATTTGCGTGTCATAAAATTCAGCAACCATTTACGATATGAATTTACGACACCTCTTTACGATACTCATTTACGCATAATACATAAATATGGAAACAAATATATACCAAAACAATTAATTTCATCCTATAACATCATTTCAAAAAATTATAATACATTGGTATTATGGAGATCTGATTGTACATTATTATTAAGAGGTTTTCCTTAAATATATAACCTAATACTACATTGCTATTAAGGGACACCTTGTTTCAGATATCATTTCAAAAAAAATCCTCCATGTCAAAAAATTGGTTGTTGTCCACCGGGTGTAGATGGCAAGTAATGACTTGAACATTAGCTGAAACAAAAAATCTTTAATTAATCACACAATCAACAACATTTAGAAGTACATCAGAATGCATATGTAAACTACAATATCAATTATAAATTTGAAAAAGGAAGAGCAAGAGAAGAAAAAGAAGAATATCATATGGTTAGTTACCTGATCTTCTTTGCATGTGGGGAATTTGGAATAAATACACTACAATATGAATTATAAATTTGAAAAAAATGTATGAATGTAAGACTATTGGCTCACCATCTTCTTTGCACGTGGGGAATTTGGCAGCTTATTGCTTGCATCCTGTCATTTGAAGAAACATGTAAAGATTTGAAATGCAATTAATAGGGTTTATGTTATATATAAAATATAACACATAATGCCACTTCCCTTCCAACTATGTCATGTGATGTTCTGAAAGGTATCCCCTGCAAAGAAAAATGTTAATCTTACTCAATTCTCATAAAAAACACACTAATATGGTTTATGTTATATATAAAATATAAAAATCACGAAATTATCCAAATTGAACTCCTCGCACTTCCTAAAATATAAGGAAATATTAATACAAGGAATTGCTGGAATGGAATGGAATGAACCATTCCATTCCTTCTCTAATTCCATTCCAAAACTAGTGATTGAAGTTTGCATCTTACCAGGTGATCCATTTTTTTTCAATATCTACAACCGATCTTACTCCCTATTTGAAAGAAAGAACACAAAGAATGTTTTAGTAAAAAAAGGATGCATAAATGTAAGGATTGATAAATAAATAAATAAATAAAACCTGATCAGGAACCATTCCATTGGTTGGAGATCTAACAACAATAGAGTAGATCTCCGATTGCTTCCGGAAGCTTCATAATCTTCTCCATCCTGTTTCCAAATGTTCTATTTCATATCTTTCAACAAAAAAGTAGAAAAAACTATTTTTTAACATATGGACGATATTACCCTTGTCCTAGGTGTTGTTGAACCCAACCTATATGACCTAACTTGATGTGAAGCAACCTCCACTACTTGATTTCCTCCAATAAAATTCGGATGTGATGTGTTTATACGATCAATCTACAATAATAATGTAATTGATTTAACCATTAATATGGAAATTAAGAATTTAAAAAATAAGTAATAGATTAAATACTAATACCTCCATTTCTACTAAGTGTCGAATCATTGTTTGTGAAGGTTCAAGACCTTCAAAAGTGTAGGAACAAAAACTGTAGAAAATTAAAGCTAGTTATAGATAGTTTAACTGTAATGTCAGTTAGTGAACTAAGTAGAAAAAAACAGAAAAACATACAGTCGTTCCTTAATAAAAAAATCATAGCTATCTAACCTCTCACGAAGTGGATTCCACTTTTGCCCCCAGTAATAAAATTCAAAACATCAAACAATTCAGAACCATTTTTAAACTGCTCAAGGGTAATGATGTCAAATTGTTTATTACCTGAAAAGACTTCACCAATACGATACACCATCTCACCTTCCTTAACAACCCTTTCAGAAACCTCTTTACTAACAACCAAAACCATCCCAATTCCCATATTAAAAGTCCTCTTCATTTCACCATCTTCAATCCTTCCAGCCTGAAAAGGGGCAAAACCGGAAACATCATTAGAAAAAAACAAATAACCAACTTTTTTTTAACACCAAAAAAAACTTAAATACCTTTTGGATCCATTGAAAAACAGGGGGGACCGAACAAGAGTCGTTATAAACAAGAGCACCAAGCCCTATGTGTGCAATTCCTTTTATACCCTCATGGCTAGGGGCATTCAGGGCTCTTTATGGTGATCAAGAGATATATGAAACAACTTATTTTAAGCCATTTCCTGGCTATTATTTTAGTGGTGATGGTTGGAGTAGGTAATTTACTCATACGTAGGTTGTGTGTGTTTGGCCTTACTAATTGGAAAACTATAGCTTTTTCCTGATAAGCTAAGTTGGTAGCTGGCTGATAAAGTAACGGATTTTTGTAAAAACTTGCTGATCAGCTAATTGGAAAATGTTAAATGACATATAAAGGTATATAACTGAAAATGAGCGTATAAGGGTATATTTGTCAAACTTGTGGAAAAATCCTCATGGGATTAACTTCTTAAAAAGCTACATTCCAATAGGCTCAAAAAATTAAGCTATAGCGTATGCCTACCAAATACAACCATATTATTCATTTTACATCTTCAGTTAGCTGATAATGTTAAGTTTTCTTTTAGGGACAAGAATGGATACCATTGGCTCATAGGGAGAGTTGATGACATAATGACGTAATAAATGTCAGGTATCAAATTCTTGACCCAAATGACCATGGCTAGAAGAGCTTGCTAAGCAATAACCAAGCATAGAGTATTAGCTGTATATTAGTTGTATATTATTAGCTGTATGTTTCTAGGGTATTTAATATTTTACCTAGTCAAAATATTGCTCCAAAATTAGAAGATTGTAATTCCCGATTTTATGGCTATCTCCCTGTATATGTACGATTCGGTTGTGGAATGAAATCATAGGAGAATTCAATTACGTTCATGGTATCAGAGCCATCACTCTCTACCTAAAATCACTACCTGCAGGTCACGATCTGCAACTCCTGCTACTTTCTTTTCTCTGTTATTTTTTTTCCAACCTGTTCTCATGTATGAAAAGGCGGAAGCCTCATCCACTGCTGTCGCCAAAACCATGCACCCTGTGTATGCTGTGGCCAATATTCAACAAAAGTCAGGGTTCTCGATGGCTTGAAGGTCTCTTACTCATCATGGGTTAAGTTATTCCAGCTTCATGCCAAGGGCTATAAAGTCATGGCACATATTGATGGTACGAAACCACCTGCCAAAACTGACCCTGAGTATGAATCATGGTCTGAAATCGATGCAATCGTCTTGCAATGGATTTATGGGACATTATCTGATGACCTGTTGACTCGTGTCCTTGAAACTCAGTCTACGGCTCGTGAAGCTTGGTGTCACATTCAAACCATATTCCTCAACAATAAAGGTTCAAGGGCTGCAGCCCTTGAACACAAGTTCAACAATCTCACTCTGAAATCCATGCCATCCCTCGAAGCATATTGTCAAAAGCTCAAGGAACTAGGTGACAGACTCAATGATGTGGACTGCCCTGTCAACAATCAATGATTAGTTCTTCAATTAGTTCGTGGATTACCTGCTGAGTATGACACAACAACGACCTACATTAATCAGACTCTCCCCACATGGGAGACGGCTGTGAGTATGCTGGAGCTCGAACACCAAAGGCAAACAGCCCGTGAGACCCTGTCCCCACCCACAACCATGGCTGTTATGCATTCTGCGTCATCTACTCAACTCAATCGTCGGCGCCAAGGCAACATGCACAATGGCAAATGACCCAATTCTCAGCAGAGTAGTTCTTCCTCTGCCCCAAGGCGCAACCCAGTGAATCCTCAGCCCAGGTCTCAGCATCAGCAGGTTCAGCAAGCATAGGCACAACCTTGGTTTTCTTCAAATGCTCGTGCTCCCTATTGGGCTTATTGGAGCCCACCTCCCTGTCCTTACCCAACAACTGCAGGTTGGAACTCTCCATGGAATTGTCAACCATCCCAGACTTGGACTCCTTCTGTCCGTAGGGCTGTTTCTCGCACCAATGGCCCAACAGACAATCAGGCTCATTTCACAGCTTATGACCCGATGGAACCTACTCAAATAGGTGAAGCTTTTCAAGCAATGAATCTGGAACAACCCGATGAACAGTGGTACATGGATTCGGGTGCCACTGATCACCTCACTGGAGACCAAGGTAAAATTTCAAATCCCTCATTATCTTGTCCAATTGGTTCGATATTGGTAGGAAATGGTGCTCGTGTGCTAGTGCAAGGATCAGGTCACTCATCTTTTCAAACACCCACCCGAGACCTACACCTTCCAAATATCATTTAAAACCTTATTTCTGTTAGAAAATTTTCAATTGATAATAAGGTTTCTGTTGAATTTGATCCATATGGGTTTTCTGTGAAGGATTACCAGACGGGCCGGATGATATCTCGCCACAATAGCTCCAGTCAACTTTATCCTCTCACCTATCCGGTCACGGGTTCCACCTTTCTGTCCGCAAGTGCTCAAGATGTTTGGCATGACCGTTTGGGTCATCTTGGCCTCCCTGTTTTGGATTTTCTTAGTTCAAATAAAATCATTCCATGTAATAAACGTTGTCAAACTTTAGTTTGCAATTCATGTCAAATTTCCAAGCATAAACGTCTACCTTTTTCTATTTCTACCTCCTCTACTATATTGCCCTTTGATATAATTCATTGTGACTTGTGGACATCACACGTAACAAGTAAAACTGGATATAAATACTACATGGTTTTAATTGATGATTACACCCAATACACATGGGTGTTTCCATTAAAGTTCAAATCCGAAACCTTCACAAAATTCTCAACATTTCACAAATACATTAAAACCCAATTCAACTTACCAATCAAAGCCTTCCAATGTGATCTAGGGGGTGAATTCAACAACCATTCTTTCAAAACATTCGCTGACACAAACGACCTCCACTTCCGGTTTTCTTGCCCCCAAACATCCCAATAAAATGGGAAATCAGAGCGCATGATTCGAAGACTTAATGAAATCATGCTTGTCCTTCTTACACATGCATCTCTTCCACCACATTTCTGGGTCGAGGCTCTACATACGGCCTGTTATCTCCATAACATCCTCCCGACTAAGCTCCTCAATTTTCACACTCCCATGTCAGCTCTTTACCTCCACCAACTTGACTATGGCCACCTACGAGTGTTTGGATGTGCGTGTTATCCCAACACCACCTCCACTCGAGCACAAAAATTAGATCTTCATGCCAAACTTTGTGTCTTTCTCGTGTAACAACGTAAATTTTAAAACAATTTTTCATTTTTCAAACATAAATAAACTCATATAATATTCTCGAAATCTCATGTATCAAATGTCATCGCAATAAAACATATCCCAGAATCTCAAAACATAATCCCCTGCCAGTGTGTACAGATCATGCCGACGCCTTCCCGCGATCCTCGCTGGTACCTGAAACACATATCACATAACACGGTAAGCATAAATGCTTAGTGAGTTCCCCAAAATACCACATACAACACATAAGCCACTCGAGGCTATAACTCGGTATGACCTTCCGGTCAATGTGTCTCAGCGGGACCCTCCAGTCCGGTCTAGCTCGTTGTACCCTCTAGTCCGGTCTAAATCGTTGGACCCTCTGGTCCGGTCTAAATCGTTGGACCCTCTGGTCCGGTCTATATAACACATAGCATACATATATCACAATGCACATAAACTCAAACATACACATAACTAATAAGACCCTCCGGTCTGCACATAGATACCACTCTAGGTAATGTATAGTGAGAAGACTCACCTCGGGTAACTCGGATAAACTCGAACTCGACATAGTGATCTAGCCTACGCCTAATCACACAAAATAATTATCTATAGTTAATACGGCTCTCAAAGGCTAGACTAGTCCCTCCCTATATTCTCTCAGAAGGGTAAAAGACCATTTTACCCCTCAATGGCCCAAAGGTCCAAATGTTGGCTAAACCCTAAAAGTCAACGAAAGTCAACCCTGCGGAGTACGCGGCGCGTACCAGCTCTGTACACTGGGCGTACTCGAAGTTTTCACAGAATCGGGGAGCTCGACCCCCTACGCTGCGCGTACTGGGATTACGCCCATCGTAAGTCCCAGTTTCACACTCCTCGTGATTTTGGTCTTAAATGGTTAATAATAAGCTCATATTTCAGATCTGGCCATTCTAATACCTCTTAATCCATAAAGTCGAAACCTTTAAGCCTTTGCATGGCTGTAAAGGTCACTAATGTCACACCCCCGAACCAGACGGCGGAAACGTCCGGAGGCGGGTGACTTCATTGTGCAGTATCATAACAATTGAATATAAATGAAACAGAGCAATCCAAACATCATACATTGAGATAACAAACTTACATTGTTTACATATTGTATTTGTTCTTCGAATTACACAAAAGAGACATAAGCAGAAAAATCCAAGCTACAGCTAAAAGTCTTGCATCCGTGTCCCTTGTTACCTGCTTACTACATAGCTGAGAATACAAGTCGTTTTGAAAAGCGTCAACTAAAAAGCTGGTGAGTTCATAAGCAGTTTTGTGTATAAAATCGTTTACACTTGTTTAGAATCATTCTTGTTGTACTTTCAGAAAATCCGATATTTTCTATGAAATTGTTTGAAGTCTTGCCTTGAAAATCATGGATATGTGTATGTATGACATAACTTTTGTTCATCCTTATAAGGAGTGATTTTGAAAAGTAGTGTGATTTGTAAAAGCGTGTTGTGTCTGAGAATAGTTCTTTTGAATAGTAACAATCAACCGTTTCAAGAAAATCCCTTATTTTCAAAAAGGAAATATGGTTGAAAATCTTGTTCCTCTTATCGAGTAAAAATGAGTTTGTGCGTTCTAGTTTATCGTTATCGAAATCGTAAAAAAATCGTTTTCCCCAGAAAATCCTATATTTTCTGCTATAAAATAATCGTAAGTTCTAGTTTTCAACTATGTATATGTGTGGGTTAGTTTATCGTTATCAAAATCGTTTACAAACGTTTTCCATAGAGTCCTACGCTTTTTAATTTGTAAAAATAACTGTATTACGACTCTATACTTGTATGAGAAAGAATCAATATGGCTATTGTGGACATTCTACGCGATGAAGAAGGACAGTCAACACAACAAATGCGGATCATTACCTATCACGTGTAGGACAGTCAACACAACGTGCCAAAATTTATTTATGAGGTTTTCCTTACATAAATTTCTAGTTAATATAACATATTCTAGTGAGTCGTTATAACCATACTAATCTGACGAAGTGTCTGCTTTGGCGTTTCTCATGCGCCCTCGGTTTGGAAAAAGACATTTGTCACCCTAGACTGGCCTGTCTAGCTGTAGCGAACAACGAATGTGCGGGGTGTCAACCCCGTATAGATCTATACACAAATTCCCGCTCTCCCTCCAGGAGACTCTGGCTATAACTCCTTACAGGACTTAGAAGTACACTAATATTTTTATATTTAGGTACTTTTGAGATTTGTCTGACTAGAATATTAACAACCTTTTGAGCAATCGTTAGAGATCCATTATTTGTTAGATAAATAATGAAATTCGTACTTGTTATCGTTCTCGTTCCATATCGTTGATTGTGCTTGTTAACTAGGTGCTCGCGTTCGTTCCTTTTCGTTTATTGAAAAATAAGTCATTTTTGTCAAGAGAAAAAGTGTCAAGTTATAATTTATATAAATTTATAACTGCCGGTTATGACACGCATTTTCTGTTTTATGACATATAGAACATTACTTATGTTCTTGGAGGTTTTATGACAGCAACTTATGACATGCAAATGTTTCTGTCATAAAGGCTCTATTTGTATATTTTCTTTTGACGCAAACTTTTATGTTGAATATTTATAAAATACTCCCTGATAGTTTGCAAAATAGTCACAAAGTTTCTATTTTCGAAAAATCACTAGAAATGGTGTCCACTTAGTAAGGTCCCTTTTTATAACTTTTATCTTTAGACATGAAAGCATAGATAAAGGGGTTAAGTTGGACTCACTCAATAGTTGGGAGGCTCTTTTGCACAAAGTATCCTCTGTTCTTTATGAATTTGAGAATTCTTACGTT